GTGATATCTGGCGACGGAGGTCAACATGTCCATGACAAATACTCCACCGGTCTTCTGGTCGTGCTCTACCGACAAACCTTCCCTGGACTCGTGGCATAGATGGCGGAAAACCTTTACGGATTACTTGGAATTGCTTCCAATCTTGAATCCAGCAGTATCTCTTACTGAGAAAACCAAAGTGAAGCTCTTGAGACAGTTTCTTGGAGATGAGGGTCAAAGGTATTTCGATGCACTTCGCATTGATCAAATCTCTTCTACGATAACCGGCGCTTTGGAGACCTTCAGTGCTCTTTGGGGTGCTCGTCAGAATGTTTTTACGGCTAGATACTACTTCTCGAAACTCTGCCAGAAACCAGATGAGAGTGTGAACGAGTTCATCGCTCGTGTACTACAAGCAGCACCTGATTGTAAATACAATGAAGTCGATTCAACGAGATTTGAAGAGACCATGTTACTCCAATGTTTGATAGCCGGAATCTCAGACCAGAGCACGCGGGAGAAGCTCCTTTCACAAGATGATTGTTCACTGACCTGGGAGACGGCCTGCTCGATTGCCCGGCAGAGGGAACACCTTACACAACAACTCGCAACATTTACGCTGAAGGACTCGTCAGATGAGCTGCGATTGATTAACACTACATCAAAACCCAAGCCACCCACTGGCGTCAATTTGTTTGTGTGCTATCGCTGTGGTGAGCAGCACAGTTGTCCATCCGACTGTCGGCATCAGAAGACAGTATGTCGAAGCTGCGGGAAGGTGGGCCACCTGGCGCGAGTGTGTAGATCGGTCAAGCGACGTTCAGGTGGGGCTTATCGAGGAGCAAACCCCATCAAAACTGTGGACGAGTCTGATGGTAGCGACCCTGAATTACATTCCATTTGGCTTAATTCCGTTTCTAGCATGCAGCCGGCGCCATACACTCTAGAGCTTTACATTGAAGGACAAAAGGTACAGATGGAAATAGATACAGGAGCATCCGTGACGATAATCCGGGAAAACGCTGTAAAAACGCTCCCGAACTTATCCGCTTGCAATTCTGTTCTTCGTACATACACCGGTGAACCTATACGTGTCCTTGGTAAATGCTTCGTGAAGGCACAGTATGGCGACAAAATACGCACACTTCCTGTATATGTGACCCCCGGGGATCGTCCAAATCTGCTTGGAAGAGACTGGATACGTGCTTTCCCGGATACAATGAATGTGGTAAAATTAGTCACCGAAATCTCCGGACTTGAAACATTACTTAAACAACATTCAGCTGTTTTTTCCGAGGAGCTTGGGAAGTTGAAAGAATTTCAGGCTGTGATAAAACTAAAGGAAGACGCTCGACCAAAATTCATTAAGGCGCGCACACTACCATACGCTATGAGGCCTAAAGTTGAAGAGGAACTAAACCGCCTACAGACTCAAGGTATTATTACTCCTGTACACTTTTCCGACTGGGGAACTCCAATTGTGCCAGTAACCAAACCGGACGGCTCCGTACGGATTTGTGGTGACTACAAGATAACCATAAATCAAGCATCCATGCTGGTCAGGTACCCCTTGCCACGTATTGATGACTTGTATGCAACACTAGCTGGTGGTGAAAAGTTTACCAAACTCGATCTGAGTCATGCATACTCGCAGATAGAGCTCGATGAACCTTCGAGGAAACTTACTACCATCACCACGCACATGGGACTATTTCAATATACTCGTTTACCTTTTGGCGTTAATTCCGCCCCCGGAATATTTCAGAGAATTATTGACGACCTAGTGAAGGACATTCCTTTTGCGTGTGCTTATCTGGATGATATTCTTATCTCTGGACGCTCGGATACAGAGCATCTTCGAACACTCGCGGTCGTGCTCGAGCGTTTGGAGCGAAGTGGATTAAGATTGAAAAGGTCTAAATGTGAGTTCCTTTCACCGTCCGTTTGTTACCTTGGATACCGGCTTGATAAACACGGTTTACATGTTTTAAATGACAAGGTTAAACCTATTTTAGAAAGCCCAGAGCCAAAGAGTTGTGATGAACTCCGCTCGTTCTTAGAAATGCTATCTCACTATCGCCGTTTCCTGCCTAATGCATCGACGGTTCTATCGCCATTAAATGAGCTGTTACACAAAAATGCATCGTGGTGTTGGGGTTCCCGTCAAAAAAATGCCTTCAATAAAGCAAAACAAGCTCTTGCTTCGCCACCAACGTTAGTCCATTATGACTCTAACAAGCCACTCATACTTCAGTGCGACGCGTCCCCTTGGGGGGTCGGGGCTGTCCTGTGCCACCGCATGGACGATGGTTCTTTACGTCCCATAGCATATGCATCGCGCACCTTACAGACGGCGGAGAAGAACTACTCACAACTGGACAGGGAAGCGCTAGCCGTTATCTTCGGAGTTAAGAGGTTTCACCAGTATTTATGGGGAAACGTTTTCGAGCTTCATACAGACCACAAACCATTGATATCCTTGTTTGGGGAAAACAAAGGTATACAACAAATGGCATCACCGAGGATGCAAAGATGGGCTATAACCTTGAGTGCTTACAGTTACAAGATTGTTTATATTACCGGCGTCAGCAACTGCACAGCAGATGCACTCAGCCGTCTGCCGATCACGGAAACTGCACACGAACACGACCCTCCGTTTGAACTGGTTAATCTAATGCAACATCTAGACACAACACCGATACGGAGTTCAACAATCCGTCAATGGACGGATCGAGACCCCGTACTATCAATGGTGAAACGCTTTTTGAACATGGGTTGGCCTCCTGAAGGGACAGTTGAATTACAACCGTTTATGATTCGGAAGAACGAACTGAGTCTATTCGACGGCTGTGTTTTTTGGGGCTCTCGTCTAGTCCCTCCCACCAAGGCACGTTCACAGATACTTAAAGAGCTCCATGATGCTCATCCAGGTGTGGCGAGAATGAAGGCACTAGCGAGAGGGTACTGCTGGTGGCCCAACATCGACTCAGACATAGAGAACTTACTGAAGAATTGCGATATTTGTCAGGCGTATCAGCGGAGCAAGGCGCCAGGTCCAATACACCCTTGGCGTTGGCCCGACAAGCCCTGGTAGCGTATCCACGCCGACTACTTCGGACCGATCGACGGGACCATGTTTCTTCTACTTATTGATGCACATTCTAAGTGGATTGACGTACATCCAGTTACTCAGGCGACGGCCGAATCCACCATCACTAAAATGCGCTCGTCCTTCGCTACGTTTGGCATTCCGGAAACCATTTGTACAGACAATGGTTCGCCTTTTACGAGTGCCGAATTTGGTAAATTTGTCGCCAACAACGGAATCCAACACGTTAAATCAGCCCCGTATCACCCAGCATCAAACGGATTAGCGGAGCGTGCAGTACAAACTGTGAAACATGGCTTACTAAAGCAGCGAACGGGAACATTGCGAACAAAACTGGATCGGTTCTTATTCTCCTACCGTTCTACACTCACTGAGGCTACCGGGAAATCCCCGGCGGAATTGATGTTCGGCAGAAATCTGAGAACGAGGCTTCATTTGTTGTTTCCGAACCCGCGTGTTGAAGTACAGGAGCGTCAGAAAAAGTTTGTGTCTTCAGAGGAATCAAAACCGGAAGTTACATTTCAGGACCATCAACCTGTTTACACCAGGTTACCGCATGAACAATGTTGGCAGCCGGCGACTGTGCTCGATTCTTCAGGAAGTCAAAACGATTTGCAGCTTCCGGACGGCCGGGTTGTTCGCCGGCACTCAGATCATGTACGCCCCAGGAGCACTGACACACCTGCCGTGAGTCAGTCACACTCGGAGATCGCAGAGCAAGCTGCAGAGCACGATGAACACAGAACAACAGGGGAAACTCAATTACGCCGATCGACCCGGATTCGCAAACCGATCGAACGTTTCCAGCCATGACTGTAACGTCAGCCAAAACAGGGAGGACTGTTACGTGTTCAACCAATGATCGCTCACTATGACCGTAAACGTGATTACCA